AATAATGAAAATAAAATAATTTACTAATACGATAAACTGAAAATGAATAATTCCAATTGATATATCGAATTAATCAAATAAAGGCCTCTGAAATTGTGCTGAGCTTTCATCGTGTGACGTCCGTGCGCTTCGCATACATTTGCCATCTGAACGGTAAGCAGGAGCAGCGGACGCTTGTGGGCCCCGGGAGCGATGGGGCCAGTGAAGCAGCAACAGTGGCAACGAAACATGGCCAACAAGCGACAGCAACTGCAACAACAACAGCAACAATTTCACATGTTCCAATCGAAGCTACGAACTAAGCTAAACAACAAAACAACATAAAACATAAATAGTCAAACAAATTAAAAACCAAACAATTTTTTGTAAATAAAATTTATATAGCAATTGTTAAAACCTTTTTTTTTTATTTTCTGTTACGCTGTTCACATCGATTAGAGAGTTTTGACTTTGGAGCGATCATTGAAAGGCAGCTTACTGTTTGGCAATCCATGTGTAGAGCTTACAGTTTGCGAGCCACTGTTAGCATAACTTACTATTAGCTTAGCAACTCTGTTTTTTAGTATAGCTTAAATTGTAAAGAAATTTTTATAAGTGACTCTACTTTGCTTTGATATGCTCTGGTTAATTGTATGCCCTTTGGGCAAGAGTAATAGCTCATAGCATAGTTATCAACTATGTTAAAGTTTGACAATCACTAGCTTCAATGTGCAGTTTGAGAGTAGCTGAGAAAAGTCAAAGTCCATTTGTCTGCCGTTTAGCTTGTCGAATGTATCATAAGAGTAAAAATATATTTAGATTTAGTTGCTCAAGTTTGCAGTTTGGCAATCACATAGTCTTAGACTAGCCAGCTTACAGTTTGACAATCACTATTCAATCATTAGACAGATAATGCTAAACAATCAATCACACAAAACTCTCTGATCTCTGTTGATCTAGTGAAATGTGAACAGCGTATGTCTTAGTCGGTTCGATCCGTTTAGCTTGCCTTGCCTTTGTATGTGTGTATATGTGTGTGTGTGTGCGTGTGAATGTGAGTGTATAACAAGCACACCAACAACAACAACAACAACAACAATAACAACAACAACAGAATCACAACATGCACAAGTTGTACACAAATTGTTGTCAGTTCTCTCATGCTCACAATTTTTGTTGTGTTCCATTCCATTGTTCCAGTGCATGCTTTTTCTATATAAATGTATATATAAGTCTATATATATACCAATATTCGTATGATTTTTATGGGTTCCGTTGTGCGTTCGTTGGTTTTTGTTACACGTTGTGATCAAACACCCAATTATGTACACCACTGAACCACTGAGCCACCCCACCACCCAACCACCCCATCACCCAACCACTCAACCACTCGCTAAAACAATACCAGCCAAACCAAACACAGTTAACAACAACTAACGTAACGTGTGTCATGCAGTCGGATCAGATATGCTACTCGGTGCTGTGCGTCTTCAGCTATGTGGCCGCTGGCCAGGATCAGAAGAAGAATCCGGTGGTTATCACACCACAAATCCAGGACATACACGCACAGCAGAAGCAGAAGCATCAACAGCAGCAGCAACAGCAGAAGACCAACGCCGCAACAGCAACAGCAGCAACAACAGCAACAGCAACAGCAGCAGCAGCAGCAACAGCTGCCACAGCAACAGCTCCGACAACTGCAGCAGCAACAACAACAACAGCAGCAGCAACAACGAGTGCTGCAACTGCTAGCAGACAGCAGCCGGGCCATATAACCATACGGCATACGGTGCCCATGCAGAAGCCCAGCATCACCATGTCCACAGTCCAGCCGCAAGCAAAGTTGCCAGCGGCTATGGCCGCGGCCAGTCCGCAGTTGCCGCAGCTGCCGCCGCGCGTGCCCTCGCAGGCCTCCACAGAGAGCTGCTCGCCGCCAGCGAAGCTGCGCGGCCCGCCGCCCGGGCCGCCACCGGCCATACCGCCACGCACGGGCGCCATAGCGCGCAGCGGCTCGGTGCAAGCGTCGCCGAGCCGCAGCTTTGTGCGCCAGGCGTCGGCGAACTCAACGATGCCGCAGTACACGCCACAGCCGCCGCCGCCATTTGTCATACCCAAGCGTTTGGCACGCGCCTCTACGCTGACAGCTGCATCGCAGCAGCAGCACCACCACCAGCAACAGTCGCTGCACCATCAGCAACAGCTGCCGCTGCACCAGCAACCGTTGCCCGAAACCGGCTCGAGCTCGACCTCGCACTCTCCTCAGGCCCATCGCAAGCACTGACGAAGGAGTTCGTTCTTTAAGTTCAGCGGTGCGGGCGGCGGAGGCGGCCCCACTGGGGAGGAGCCGCATCTGGAGCCGCACAGACGCGACGTCTGTCGCACCATTTGCATACCCTGGCTGTAAGCCAGCTAACGAACCGGGCATGCACAGCTACTAGCTTCGGCCAGTCGAAGCTTTCGTATCCTTGCAGAGTCTCATTCAATTAGTCTAGAATTTCCTTGTTTCACACACTTGATGTTCCTATAAGGCTAACAATCGTCCGATATGTAAGAATATGTACACACATATATGTAGATAGCATATATGTATACCTTAGTTTAGATTCTGTTCGAGTTGATTTTAGCTGTGTAGCTATATATATGTATGTGTATGTATATGTTATATATAGTTAAGAATATGTACCAATGCGCTGTATGTACTAGACATTCCTCCTATATGTATGTATGTATATATATATATACATATATACGAGAATTTTGCTTCTAGAACACAGTTCTGTGGGTTTGGCTTGGATTGGATTTCGATTCAGAGAACTTTCTAAGTATGATAAGTGAAAGTTCATTCTGAATATATTAGATATTCCTAAGATATTCCATATATATAAATACGTGTAAGCGATATAGCTGTAGAATTCTGATATACTTCATATAGCTGTCGAAAGATGAGTATTTTGATATTGTTCAGTTACCTGAACAAACAAATTTGTTATGTATATGCCTAATATAGTCTATATATTAATGGATATTCCTACATATATAAGGTTAGGATATATATGATATCCTTTTTTTAATCTTCTGAAATGAAATTTATTTTTCGCAGCTTTTAAATATTTGCAAAATATCTTTAAGAGACATTATAGATTCTCCAATATCTTCTATTGAATTCAAATGGCATTTTTTAACTCCATTTCGGCTTGAAGTATATCTATATGGTATAAGTTTTAACTTATTTTTAAAATATAGATTCAACTCAATATATTTTAGACGAGCTCCATCTTGGGCTCTTCATACTCTCCACCCGCAGAATAAATTCTATATTGTAACACTTAGTCAAGATTCCTGAAATACAAAATATAGATATAAACGATCCGAACCGATTCGATTWCATTCGATTCAGTGTCTAAGCCCTCGCTTGTTCCTACGGCACCTGTCGATCCGTTAGCTATGAGTTATATATAAAGTATACCAAATATATATATATATGCATAAATAAAGTACGACTTATTGAGAACATTGTTAACTATATAAATACTTGTTGAAAAAAAAAGAAAAACTATTCTAACTAACCTGCTGCAAGGATATTTTGTTAGGTAAATTTAAGCAAAAGAAAGAACCCCTTATTCATGCTCTACGATATAGACGTATAGATATGTTATACAACTATATACATATATATCTACGATATTTGATGTTAATCAATACTAGCCTAGGCTTATCATATCATATACAACTCGCAGCACACACTTTAGCTGGTTGGGCATTTCGCGTATGTGTTGGGCGATGTATATAAGTAAATGGATATATAGATAAATCGAATATGGGCACAAAATATAACAACACAAAAGGTAATTGAAGGCAATCTAGATAGGGAAATGTAACATACCAAAAGAAAAACAAACAAAAAGCAGATAATAATTATATATACCTTATATATACTTATATAACTAATCCAAATGGAAATGAAAAGGGCAGCAGCAGCTGGCTGAAAAGCACTAGCAAAGGAATATATATATATRTGTATGTATAGAGATATGTCTATATACATATACATATATATATCTATATATACAGCATAGCTTAAGGAATTGTCAGGGAACACTCTATATGGTAGCATCAAGCCAGCTAAGTTAACAGAGCTTTTACAGAGTTGGACAGCAATATATATGTGTATGTGTGTATGTAACAGAGATTTAACAGAGTTCAGCATAAGTATATCTACAAATATCTACATATATACACAAATTGACCTATGATCCATAACCATGACAAACTATCTATATATGTACATACACATATAACCATAAATATAAATATAAAAATAAATATATTTTTTGTTGTTGGCTTTAGATGTTAACTGAGTCACAAAATTATCCAAAACATAGTATACGTATATGTTTATAACTTATACGATTATGTCTTATCTTACATCAAATAAAACATATATAAAATTGTATTTTCCATAGTTCAAATAAAAAAAATAAATAAATAAATAAAAATAATAAATAGTTGTTATTTAGTCTGGTATCTCTTTTAAACTTTGAAACAACAATAATACTATATTTGATTTCCAGCATATATTATAGTTTCAGCTTTATTTGCATATTTTGATGATATTGATAAGCCGTCGCGACGCGCCTTCGCTCGTCTGTTTCACTTGCCTTCCCGGAATCAAAGTCTAAAGTGTTGACTTCTCGTCGTCTATTGAATAATTTTGTTAAAAAATGATTTAATTAATTGTTTATATGAAAGACAAACAACGAACACAAAAACAATAACAAAAACAAAACAACAACAACAATAACAACAAAATAACAACATTCATAGCCTTTGAGGTGGGTGTTTTTATTGGCTTGTGTTAGCCTTTGCCATAGTCTATACTAAATGCTATGGTCCAGCCGAGCCTCTTATCAAAGCTAGTATGAGGCCAATTATTATTGTGGATTGTGATGTGCTACATTTCGAATATAATAATGTAGCAGACAGATAAATGAGCGAACGACTTTGGTCATGCAACTCGAGAGATAAGTAGATCTTTACTCATTGAACTCTGCTTCGAGTTGAGCTAGAGCTGTGCAATTTGGATCAGTTGACAGGACCGTAGCTGTCCATATATATTCTATGTATATCTATGGAGATATATCTATGTATATCTATATAAGCTTCTTATAATAACCCTATATACATATGCATATTACAGAATGAACTCAGCTTTAAGTTGAGCTAGAGTTATGCAATTTTGTAATTATACATGTTTATATATATTTATATATCTATATACGCTCTTCAATAATTCTCATATATTTCCACTTTACCCAACGAACTCCGCTTCTAGTTGAGCTAGAGCCAGTGAATCAGTATTAATTGAAAAAAACTGTAGCTGTCAATATATATATATACTATGTAAAACTATATAGCTTTTAATATATTTCCATATAACCCAACAAACTCAGCTTCTAATTCAGTTAGAGCTACGCAATTTCGTAAATATATTTATAAACTTATAAATATGTATATATTTATATAAGCTCTTTACTACTCTTCACATATTTTTACCTTACCCAACGAACTCCGCTTCTAGTAGTGCTGGAACTATGCAATTTTGTCAATATATTTATATATGTATATGAATACATATCTGCTCTTTACTACTCTTCACATATTTCCACTTTACCCACTCCACTCAGTTTCTAGATGAGTTAGAGCTACACGAATTGGTACAGTGCACTATGGGCGATTTTCCATGATAGGCGGCATAAAGTCCAAAAATTTATGGTTAAATACTCAGAAAATTTTTGTATTCCTTAGTTGTTAACACTCCAATTAGATGCAAAACATTTTACAATTACAATTTACAATTTAATTTAAAATTAAAATCTTAAAAAATCAAAAAGGAAAACAAAGCTCAAGGTATTTTTTGTATAGTCCAGTGTTATTGCTGATTGTATTTTTAGTAAAAAGCTAACAATTTTAACTGTGTTCTGTGGAGTATTTCTTAAAAAGTGCATATCAGAACATGAAACTAATGATGGCAATATGTTTAGTTTATGGTATTAAAAAGCCTTTTTGCTCGTTTTTGCTCCTTTTGAAAAAAATGCACTTAAAGTTTCCTCTGCGTTCACCATCTACAGGCTTCTTGATATTTGGAACAACAACAACCACAGCCGAATAACCTTTACTATAAATTAATAGCTATATAGTATGAGTTGTTTATCAACCCAGAAAAGTGTCATAGTTTTTGCAAAGACTTTTTTTCCCCTATATATGAAGAAATTTCCAAAAAAAAACTTAAATTTACGAATACTTAATAAGGGGACGAAAAGAAAGGCGTGGCACAATTTAAAAGAAAAAAATCCGAATTTCAAGAAGAATTAGGTTTCTAGCTTTATTTTTAGACTTTATGCCGCCAAAATCGACAATTCGCCCATAGTGCAGTGGTGAATTAGCAATAACCAGTTTTATAAACTCTTAACGAAACATTTCATCTAAACAAATAACCCAACCAACTCAGCTTTTAGTTGGGCTATAGCTACAAAAAGCGAGGTAGAGGTAGTTTGCCTCTATTCGTTTAAATAATCAACATCTGTATCTTCTCTCTAGCCGAAAGAAGTTAGCCTCTGGCTAACCTAGATAAGCATAAACAATTTGCGAAAAGAGTTTGAATAGTCTCAGCTCTATTAGAGCTTTCAAAGAGAAACACTGAGAGGTTGTTCGGTCTAAATAGTTTATTATTATGTTACAACTTAAAATATTAGAACAAGGAAAATCAAGACAACTGTAGATTCATAGACAGAGACTAGTTCGATTGTGGGCGTGGCTGTATGCGAACCTGAATGCCATTGCCGCTCTTCATGACCAGCTCGGCGAGTGGCATTGGCTGATGGTCGGCGACGGGCAGGAATTTATAATGTCTCAGGAGCATGGCGAGCGTGCACTTCAGTTCGAGCATGGCAAACTTTTGACCTGCAAGCATAGTAAGGAAGATATAGAGTTGGAATAGCTGGAGAGGGGCTTGAGCTTGTCACTGACCTATGCAATTGCGCGGACCCGCACTGAAGCCAGCAAAGGCGAACGGATGAAGTTTGTTTTCGTTGAGATAGAAGCGATCCGGATCGAAGCGCTCCGGATCGGGAAAGCTGTCCGGATCGCGATGTAGCATATAGACGAGGCAACTGACTGACGCTCCTTTTGGCACCGTCACATCGCCCACCTGCAGATCCTCGAGCACCCCGCGTGAGAAGAATGGCACGGATGGGTACAGGCGCAGCGTCTCCTTGATGACGGCCTCCAAATACGGCATCGACTCCTTTTCACGACCCTCCAGCTCCACAGCCTCCTCGTAGACACGCTGCTGCACATCGGCGTGCTTCGACAGCAGACTGATGGCGAAGGCAAGCGCCGAGCTGGTCGTGTCGTGGCCCTCGAACATGAACGTGTCCACCTCCTCGCGTATGTCCACGTCGCTCAGCTCCGAGCCATTGCCCTCCATCTGCGCCAGCAGCAGCATGTCCAGGAATGCCAATCGCCGCCGGCCACCCACATCGTTGTCCTCCTGCTGCTGTGCCTTCCCCTGCTCCACTTTGGCCAGCTGCAGCTGCTTGCGGCGCTGTTGGATCACGCGATTCGTCTCTCCGTGCAGCACGCGCAGCGCCGCATTGCGCTCTTGTCCCGCCGCAGACAGATTGAAGAGAATGTTGAAGCGCTGCCAGAAGGAGAAGCTCTGATGGTGCAGAATCCGGCAAATGCTAAGGGAGTACATCAAATTCAATTAGCCAGAGCCAATGATAATGATGAGATGAGATCTATGCACTCAGTGAACGGATCACTAATATATAATATATTATAAGGAACTCATATTAAGGTATTCATCCATTTTGATCGATAGTAAGGAACTATGTCCAATAAGTAGGGGTAGGCTCCATAGCTTTGTTACCAATCAATGCCGTCATTTAAATATAATAAACAAATTCTTGCTTATCATTGGCATATTCACAAACATGTTGAGCTCTGTCTGGGTAGAATGCCAATTAGTCTATCAACAATAATAGACTTTGTAATCAGAATGAACACCCACCCTATATTAGTCGTACTTTGTCCGTTGATAATAGAATAATTTTGAAAAATTTTTCTAATATATATTATACATATATACTTTTTCCATATGTTCCAATGGAATACTGAATAACGATACCGAATACCAAATACCGAATAATAGATATATATATATATGCGATAAGCATTAAAAATTTGATAATTCGAGCTCGAAAATTGAGGCATCACAAAGTTGATTTATTTTTTGTTTTTCATCATGCCGAGCCTCCAAGAGGCGTAATCTATAGAAGACGATGCTCTACAGCAGCTTGTTGTGTCTAGCTGTGGATTATCATCATTGAGCCACACCCTCTGGAGGTGTAGCTATACATGAATATAAAATACTGTTATCTGGGTGTTCTAGGCAGAGCTATATATACCTTATTTCAATTTTGTAACACGCCCCCATTGAGGGTGTGAATCAAATTAAGGCTCAACAAATGGACGGATAGGAGGATGACAAATGGAGGGATAGAAAGAAAGCCTTTATATACCCTGTTCATATCCTGAAATGAAAGCCTATATATAAACTATTCATATGATTATCTTTGATCTTTGATCTTTGATCTCAGAGATTTGATCTTTGATCTCAGAGATTTGAACTTTGATCTTTGATGTTTAATCTACGATCTTTGTCTTATGTTCTGTTTTCTAATGCTTAATTTCTGACCTCTGATCGCCAAAGTTCTTAAAATCGAATAGAATTATGTTTGCTTCAACTTCTCGTACTTACGTCTGCACTGCTTTCACATATTCGGAATCGCTCTGCATTTGGGCGTTCTTCTTGATGCCCATCGCCGTCTCGCAGATGGCGTCCAGGGCGAATAGCGTGATGTAGGGATAGATGTTGAAGGGCTCGCCATTGGCATGGGCGCGCAGGCGATTGACCAGAATGCGGCAGTTCTCCTCCATGGGCTCCTTGAACTCGCCGAGAATGCGGAAATGGAAGCCAGGCGTCAGCAGCTTGCGTCGGCGATGCCAGGACTCGCCGCTGTTCGTCAGCAGGCCCTTGCCCAGCCAGGGCTCCAGCAGCTGATAGTTGCGCGACTTGGTCAGCAGCGTACTGTTGCTCAGCAGCTGTTTGATGTCATCGGGCGCTGAGAAGAACACCACCAGATCTTTGCCGAGCCAGATGCGAAAAACGGGGCCATGCTTCAGGCGCAGCTCCTTCAGCCAATTGAGTATCTCTGCGTGAAAGCGAAAGAAGAAGAATGTTATTCGAGCAACCTAACCAATCGCAAATGTCTATAGTTCTTACGGCCTTTCTTAACATTGGCTATCAGCTCGCCCACCGTGGGCCCAGGCAATGTACGCGAAAAGCGTTGCAGTTTCATGAAATTAAATATCCGTGGCAAAAAGCGCATGAAAAGCGCCCACACAGCAAAAGCAAACAACACCCAGGTATTCATGATGCGGGGAAAAAAAATATATGTATATTACAAAAAAAAAACAAAAAACAAAAAACAAAACAAAATAGAAATCTTTTGGATTTTCCGCTTGTTCAGCAACGCGATATTTGCAACCGTTCACTTCTCGCTAACTTGCTAAACTGAATTCACTTTAGAATTCGAAGCCAGCTCGAAGAATCGTGAACTGCGCACTATCAATGACTGAATACACTGACACGAACCGATCTGGCGATCGTGATCATCTGAGAAAGCTTACGATAACCATTTGCTCTAGAGAAGAGAACACGTTACAGCTGTATTTGTGAGATACAGTCTTGTGGTATGTTGAAAAACAGCCATGATAATAAAGATAATAGACACAAGTGTAAGTGCGAGATACATTTTGATTTTGTGCTATGTAAAGCATAATAGATGTAATAAAATAATAAAGATAAAAGATTCAACTGTGCGGCATAATATGATGTGAGCATAGGTAAAAATGTTTCTGCGAGATGCAATACAACAGATTGGATGGGTATATGCCACAGAAGATACAAATGTATCTTACAAGACTTACATATTAAAGACGTAATGCACATTTATCTGTAAGTTTCAGTATGTAAGAGATAGAGATTTAAGAGATACTTATGAGAAAAGATACAGAAGAAAAGAAAACTGCTACAATAAAACTCCTCAAAAATAATATTGTTTATATGTTATGTAGTTGTAAGATATGCTGAGTGTTGCCCTAACTGAAATACCATTATACATATATATATATTATATTGTATATT